ACTCTTGGGTTGGAGGCCATCACTCTTAGGTTGGAGGCCATCACTCTCAGGTTGCAGGCCATCACTCTTAGGTTGGAGGCCATCACTTTTAGGTTGGAGGCCATCACTCTTAGGTTGGAGGCCAGCGCTTTTAGGTTGGAGGCCACCGCTCTTAGGTTGGAGGCCAACGCTGGTAGGTTGGAGGCCAACGCTGGTAGGTTGGAGGCCATTCCTCTTAGGATGGAGGCCATCGCTATTGGGTTCGGAGCCATTGCTAGTACGTTGGCCATCGCTTTTAGCTTGGAGGCCATCGCTATTAGGCCATCGCTAGTTATTAGGTTGGAGGCCATCGCTCTTAGGAAGGAGGCCATCGCTAGTGGGTTGGAAGCCATTGCTAGGAGGCTGACAGGTATTCGTGCCATCGAGGTGCATTCAACTCCTTCTTCGGCTCTTCGGTCTTGGAGTATGGCAAGTTCTTCACCAATGTCTTCGTGGAGGGCCTCAAGCGGCCAGACGTCTTGGCTCAGCAGCTTTGGGGCGAGCACACCACATCGGTGCCGATTTCACAGAGGCGACGACTTGGGCGGCGACTTTGGGGATTGCCGGCGATGTGATTGTGTTTGTGGTTCAACATATACAACTAAAAGGCTATAGGTTCAACCGGCTGGCAAAGTGTGGGTGCCTTTACAACTAGCTGGTGACACTGCTTGCCGATCTTTGCGAACGGATCCTTCTCAAAGCCTGCATCCGACTTCGCCCGATGACTCCAGTCCTATCAAAGGCGATACAAGGGAACTTGCCGTGTAGAAAACGGCTTGGAACGGCTTAGAAGCGACTTGTAAAGTTGACAAAGAAACTAGGTAAGCTGAAGTAGAACCAACGTGTCGAGAATGTTCCCCCCGAAAAACCGCACTCTCTCATAACTCAGTAAGTGACGTCCCGAGGAAAACGATTTGAAACCGTGCGAGATGATTCGGAGCATATCAACATGGTCAAAAACTCGCGACACATCGTCAACAAATCGAAGGCCGCCTTCAGCAAAACATTTCAACTCACATCGGCAAAACCGATTTTCGTACTAAAGCCGACCCAAACCGTGAGAAAGACCTCGAGATGGTGTGCTAAGTTTTCAAGGCAACACACTATGCCGCACAGTATCATGTAGTAGCATTTGTTCAAAAAATGCCATATAGTCCCTTTTGACTTAATAACGATGGCCTCCAACCTAATGCCTGTTTATTGCTGTAACATCATTTTGGGTTTTCTCGTACTGTTTGCCAGGAAGTGGAATCAGTACATTGCTTCTGCCATGAAACTCATTGACGCAGATGATCAGATTGCTCAACATGCTCAACAACAGGTGTGGAGCGAGCGGAGCGAAATGGGAAAGAAATGGAAAGACCATCTTAGGTTCGAGGCCATCGCTAGTAGGTTGGAGGCCATCGGTAATACGTGAGGCCATCGCTAGTAGGGTTGAGGAGGGATTGGATGGATTTTGGAATCAGAAAAGGGTTGACTCCAGATTTAAGCCTTTGGAAGTGCTTATCCTAGAAGGGTATTGTCTAGTGATTGGACATCGAGATTGAAGCTCTTTGGCGGGGCTTCAAATGTCCACCAGTGTCAAATCAGCAATGCGTCCACCATCTGGATTTAATCTATCGACAATGCGTCCACCGTGACCGGAAAACTTCCAGCTTTTCACATATTCTCTGGTTGGACGGCTCGCGCTTCACAATCTCCTTCGTGTTTGGCGCCAAGGGACACGTTGCCTCATGGTTATTGTTCAGGTGAACTATATACACTTGCCCCCACACAGTGGATCAAGGGCGGTGGTTCAAAAGTGAGCTGCCAAGTGCACCTACCACAGTCATATTACCTCCAGAGTTCATTCCCTAGAGCAGCAAACGTAACATGGCCAAATCATTGCTGTCACAGCACCAGTGGACCCACCCTGAAGTCAAGCCCTGAAGCATGGAAGCTGACAAGCAAAACAGACAAAGTCCAAATCACAACTCTTCCAAGACACTGGCAAAGGAAAGGAAGGGTTGACTCTGGATTCTATCCACGTAAAGGTGGCAGGCACCACTAGGTAAAATTGGATGGAATCTGGAGTTAAGCCTTTTGAACTCCAGATTCCATCCAATTTGGGGTAGGTTGGACCAGAACGGCCTTTGAAGAAGTCGTAAACCGCGGACGGAGCCAGGCGGCCCTGCTGAAACCCAAGAAAGATATATACAGAATACCCAAAGTCGTTCATTACAACTGTAAAGAAGCTATTAGTAACAAGTGCATCGCTACTAGCAACAAGGGCCTTACTAGTAGTAACAAGAAGCTAATAAAAAACAAGAATTAGACTTTTTTCTAATAGCTGAAAACAGTTCGTTTTCGCCCAGGTCGACATGCGCACGAAGCATTTCTACCGCACAATGCCTCCCAAGAGTTTTGTGGCCGTGAACCGCCGGGAATGGGAGGAGTTGCATCAACGGCTTAACGGAGGGGAGCCTGTGCCGAAGGACGGACCGATGTTTCGCAAGTTTTTTTTTGTTTTTGTTAGCTTCTTGCTACAAGTAAGGCCAGGAGTGCCTAGTCGCGTTCTTGTTCCTAGTAGCGATGCCCTTTGCTCCCAGTAGCTTCTTGCTACTACGTGTTTTCTGAATAAATGGACTAAACAGCACCAAGCCGGGATCTTTGAGATGCCGTGTGGACATCGTTCATGAACCAGAAAGCAAGCCCACCCAAGTCAATCATCATTCAGCTTAGTAACCACATAGATTACCACTGACTGAACATATTCCGCAGGAGCAGCAACTGCCCTATCTCTTCGATGAGATCCCTGCTTGGTGTTGAGCGTGTGACTTGCAGACGTTCAAGGCTCACAATTCCCTAGTACGTGTTCTAGGCAAATCCTGCACAGATCCGATGGCAGGGTCATGTCCATTTGTGGGACATACCGGTTACATGATGGGTGCAAGGACACCTTCCATGGCTGTGGCTTTTCACGGGTGAGATAGACGGCCCTGATGCATGAACATGCATTCGGATCACCATGCATCATTTTGGATGAAGTTTTGCATGAGTGATCGGAATGTGATGAATTTGTGAAGTTTTGGAGTTGCAGAACGCACAGATTCTGGAACTGATTTTCTGCGTCGGTTTCCGACGCAGTCGTTGGACCATCTGCATCCTGACGTACAGATTTCATCTGACTAGATGGTCTGAGAGACCAGTTGCTATGGGCGAAAACGAAAGACATATTCTGCTGTTGAAAAAGTTGTTGGACAAGCTGCACGGCAATGGTTCCGGCCACACACCCATTGACACAAAGATTCCCAATCTGCATAGAAGGATGATAACGAAGATTACAGAGACCACATCAAAATATTTTCCTATATATATCCTCTCCCCACCTCCCCCTTCCCTCCCACCTTCCCTCCCTCCCTCCCTCCTCCCTCTTCGCAAGTTCGACTCCGTCCTGTCGTCGCTCTTTGGCATGCGGTTAGCGTTGCGTATCTTGCGGCCGCACTCGCTCACTCTCACTCTCACTCTCACTCTCACTCTCACTCTCACTCTCACTCTCACTCTCACT